CCCCTCCTCCTCCCCCTCTTCCCCCCCTTCCTCTTTCTCTCCCTCTCCTGTTCCATTGCAAGCTGGTTCTGTCCCAGTGAGGGTGTGAGGTGGTTTCTGGCAGGAGCCCCCCACGAGCCTTCCTAATTCCCCACTTAGCTGCTCCCCACTTTGCCCTTCACTCGATTAAAGCCTTGACATCTCTTCCTGTAGGACAGGCGTTGCTCCCCGCGGGACAAGCGTGCTCCCCGCGGGACAAGCGTGCTCCCCACAGGACAAGCGTGCTCCCCGCGGGATGGGAGTGCTCCCCACGGGACAGGCGAGTTCCCGGACCAGGTCATGATGTGCACAGGCTACTCTGTGGAAGCCAGAGTGCCCTGTGGTCAGGTGAAACGCCCTGCCTCGTGCACTTGCCGTCCAGGACAGCTGCTGTTGCTGGCTGTGTCTTTATGGAGTACTTGTTCAACTGCTAAAATTTAGTTTTCGGTACAATGTGTAATTTTGCAAGTGTTGTTTCACTTTTGTAATATTGAGACCTATTAAGCCCAGGGTGCTGAAGAGAATAGAAAGGCGGATTCCGCCCCAGCCTCTGGGCAAGCTCCCAACCTTCTCTTCTCCACTGGGCGAGCTGGCACGCGGTGGCGCGGGACAGCCCGATTCTGGCTTCCCCAGCTTCGCCCAGGGGCTCCTCCCCGGCCCTCCTCCTGGAGGGACGTGTCCCTCCCCACCACCCGTCAGCTGTGTGTCAGGCGAACTCAGAGGGCATCGTGGCCTCCCACTCTCCCTTCTGGACTCTGAGGGGTGAAAACCAAGAAACCACTTTCACTGTTGTCAGTACTGTTCAGCGGCCGGCTAAGCGGGGTGCTGGTGACGAGGCCCCGGGCTCTGTCCTGCACTCACCAGCTGCCCGGTGTTGGGGTGTATACGTCTCCGTGGAACCACTGCCTGATGCACTAGAAAGTCGAAGCTTTCTCCTCCGTTTCTAAACTGGCCCTTTCACCTGAGGTCATGTCCCCACTTACCTTGGTCTTTTTCTGTCACCCCAGAGCCGCAGTCACTCCCCTCCGGCTCCTCACTGGTGGCCGGTGGGGGAGCTGAGGCGCTGTCCTGAGTCCTCTCCTCTGTCCTGAGTCACTGTCCCATGTGCCTCGGAGCCGGGCGCCTCTCTGTGTACCCCAGTAGGGGCTGGGGCGCGGGCGCCCCCTCTCCCTCCACAGCCCCTCCTGCTCACGCTGGTGCCCAGAAATGTGCTGCCCCCTCTCGTCGGCGGCCTTGACCGCTGCCAGTCAGGGTTCATCCTTCTGTGTTTTGTCAGAGGGGCTTGGGCAGACAGCGCGCTGTGCCGTGTCATTTGAGCGTCGCACCTGCTTTGAGCATAAAACGCAAGAACTGCGGGGTTCAGGCTGGTTACGGGGCAGCTGATGGAACCGGCTTCCCCCGTCTGACGCCTGGGCCTGGGTCTCGGGTGGACGGTCTGCCAGGCAGACGGTGCACGGCCTCATCAGGGTTGTGTCGTTGACCTCATTCGGCTTGTATGAGAGAAGGAGACGGTAGCTGTGCTCACAGTGACGCATACGCACTCGGGCTTACCTGGTAACTGCCAGGACCTGCTAGGACCCGCTGGCCACCGGCTGGGGGTGCCCCCTGGGTGGGCTCCTTGAGGGGTGTCTCCCCTTGAGCAGCTGGCGTGTCCGAGCCTCATGTGTTGCCTGAGGAGCGAAGAGCCCCTTTTGCTTCCCATGGTCTGTGCGCCGCCGCGGGTTGTCCTGAGCTGCAGCTCTTCTGACACCAGCTGGGCCTTGGGCTCTGGGATCTGCGGGGCTTGAACCCCAGGTCCAGCACCTCTGGCTGTGTGACGCCACAGCGAGCAATGCTGGCTCCTGCCGCCCAGGGCCGCTTGCAGATGGGCGGTCGGGACAGAATTGCTTTCATACAGGCGAAGTATGTTTTTCCATATGTACTTTCTTTGTAGTAAATACTGGCTTCTGCCTGTCAGAACGGATGTTTAAATGAAGCTTATCTGCCTGTACTTTAGTGCAGGCAGCTGTCCAGATGCCCTTCTGCTTCTGCGCCTGCTGATTTTGGGGTGCCTGTGGCTGCAGGAGGTGGCTGAAATCTGGCCTGGAATGTAGGAGGCTAGGCATAGATATGCAGCTGAACCTGTGTGAGGCCCCCCCAGGCGAGGCCCCAGAGGCGAGGCCCCAGAGGCGAGGCCCCAGCTGAGGCCCCAGAGGCGAGGGCTCAAAGGGGACCCCGGCTCAGAGGAGGCCCCAGCGGCGAGGCCCCAGCAGCCCCAGTTGCACGGGTGCAGCTCTTCCCTCCACCCCTCCCGTCCCTCCAGGGGCCAGGGGACTGGAGCCAGCACCGCCCAGGTGACCTCAGGGGCCCTCAGGAGGGTGGCAGCAGCCCAGGGCCAGCTGAGTGGCTCACCAGGGCCCACCCAGCCTCAGCCTAGTTCTTGTCTCCCCTCTAGAACCAGCCTTGTCCCCTCTGGTCAATTTTAACTTAATTACACTCAAATCAGTTCCATAGCATGGACCTTTTTAGGCATTTAGTGGCTGGAAGAGTTTTGTTCTGTTACTTCACATTTTCCAGACCCACTTCACACAGATGGAATCTTGTAATTCTATAAGGCCAAACACAGGAGGGGACCCGAGCCAGGGGCTGGGCCCAGGACGCGTCATAGTGTAGATACGGGGCCTCATTTCTTCTGACATCTTGATAAACCTTTCTGCGCTGAGCTTGGGGCCTTCCGCGCCACCGCGCCCGGCTGGTAGTGAGCGTGGCGTCCGCTGTGAGCAGCCCAGCCCTCCTTTGTTAGGCTCGCACCTTTGGTTCTCTGCAGGACACTCAGCTCAGCACCCCTGTTTTCATCAGCGGTGAGAGTCCAGCTCGCCGGGGGCACGGGAGTAACCCTGGGGGTTCCGAGCGAGGTCTGGGGCCCTGGGTCCTGCGCCCCTCCCCTTTTATCACGGAGCCTCCGTGCCTTTAGCTCTGCGAAGGTTTCGCTTTCCAGGCCCCAGCAGGAGCGCATCAGCTTGCGAGTCAGGGGCCTAGAGACGTCAGGGCAGAGGGGATGAGCCTGTCTGTTTGACATTAGCAACATGAAGGAGAAATAACAAAATAGATTTTATGATCATTTGGGACAACAAGGAGCAGGTGTTCTGGGGCAAGAGGCGGTGCTGGCCTGTGGGAGCCGGCAGGCGTGGGGTGGGGGGACACAACCCTTACCACGTGCTGGCCCCCTCTAATCATCGACATGAGCTTCTCAGACAGAATTTAGTAACATGGCCATTTTAGGTGAGAAAACGGGGTTCCAAGAAAATGAGAGTTGAGCAGCTGGTGTGCGGTGGGGGGGCCAGGGCCGCTCCCCCAGAACGCCTTCCTGAGGCTACACACTGAACCAGGTAGAGCGTGCACCCAAGCGCGTGCTGCACACACACACACACACACACACACAATAGTTTTGTTAATAATTCAGGAAAAACGACCAGCAGCAGCTTCTGCACCTCGGTCCTCCTGTCCCCTGCTTTACGGCGACCACTGCCTTCCGGACGGGCTTGGCCTGCAGAGGGTCTCGTCTGCGCGGTGCAACTTCTAGAGGGCGACGGAGCGCCCTGCGAGGCGACTGGGATGTGTGAGGGGGCGGGCGGGGGGTGGGGCACCGCCGTGGGTCACCTGTGCTTTTGAAGAGACTCAAACATACGTTTCAAAACAAGGAGAAGGACGACGAACAGGCACATTCGTCAGTCTTCCTCCCGGGGCGCGGCGCCGAATCCCCTCGCCCCTGGTGCGAGCAGGCGTGGCCCGCGGGCGCCCACCCAAGCCTGGCTGCAGGGCGACCTCAGTAAGAGGGTTGATGTCGTTGACGCCGCTACTGTGACTCGGGGTCTGAGCTGTGAGGGTGTGAGTGGCTTGGGGCGTCCGTGTGCCAGTTGACCGGAGGCCACGATGCCTTGCGGAAGGGAGCGGCCGGCAGGACTCCTGGTGGCTCCCAGGCGCTCGCGAGTCCACATGACCCCTCTCTGCCCGCTGCCCTGCTGGGTTTCTCACAGTGAAGCTCATAGCCGGTCCCGGGAGGCATTTGAAGGACGGGGCATTCCAGACATAGCTGCTCAGACAGTGAGGCTCTGGCCATTCCCACTGCCCCCCGACTTACTGGTGCACCCCGTGCTTCTGTTCCAGCTGGTAGGCAGCTGACTCACTCAGGTCCCGGGAGAGGTTCAGGTGTGTGGCCATCCGCTAAGTATTGTGAGGCCTAGTAGGAATTAAAAGGAGGTGTGGGGTTTCGGGGTGCAGAACTATAGACTCTGCCACCTTCCCCCCAAGGCTCAGGCTGCGGGTGCTGGGGATTTGCATGGTGGGTTCCCTGGTCCGTGAGGGGTGGCTGCCCCTCCCCTGTGGCTGGGAACCAGCCTCGCTGGTAAACGGCCATGTTATGAAATTATGCTAAGCCTGGTGAAAAAGAAGAAACAAGGCCCTGAAGAAGACATCACAGGGCACCTTTCCTTCTGTCCCTTTGGTTATGAGAGGTGGGGGACCGTGACTTCAGGAAGTTCTCCAGGGTGACCCCAGGAATTTCTCTGCGGAAATGAAGGATGCCACGTGGCCAGTGAAATCAAAGATTCTCAGAGTTTCTTTTCGAGTTGGCCTGGGGCCCTGGAGTCCTTGGTGGTGGCGGGAGGGAGGGTCCCGCTGGTGGGGACTCTGCCTGCTCTGGATGATTTGCATCGGTCCTGGGGGCTGGCAGAGTGGCAGTGGTGGCGTTCAGAGGCTCGGTCCAGAAGTCCTGGGAAACGTGGCCAGGGTCCTGGAGGAAAGAATCCCAGTCCTGGCCCTCGGCTGTGGGGCTCCAAGGTGCACCTGCACCCCAGCTCCCCTCCCCGGGGACGGGGAGAGTCTCCTCCCGACCCGCGAGGCTCTGCATCGAGGCTGCGCCCGCCCGCCTCTGCCCACCCCCGCCGCTGCCCCTGTGTTGTGCCTCTGCTACAGCCCCCGCTGACGTTGCCTCTGCTTCCCAGGAGCTAGCCAGCTGTGGGTGGAGCAAGAAGGAGAAACACAGTCTCGCCCCCAACGTTGTCGCCTTCACCAGGAGGTTTAACCAGGTGAGCAGCGCCCCTCGTGCGTGCCTTCGGAGATCGGGGGGAGCCCCTCCGGGAGTGGGTCCCACGCCCTGCACTCCTCCCAGAGCCTCCTCCCTGAGCCCCACCTCTCCCTACTCTGGAGTCTCACAGCCCCTTCACAGAGGGGGCCGGCACGTGGCTCCTGCGTCTGAGTCCCTCCGCGCTAGTCCCGTGCCCTGGCGCCTGCAAGGCCCCGCGGGCAGCGCTCTGGTCCGCTCGGCCGCACCACGTCCTCCTCCGCCTCCCCAGCTCCACTGACCGGCCCCTCCTCTCCCATGCGGCACCAGAGCTGTCCTCCCGGCTTGCATTGCGTCCTCCCAGTTCAGCTCCCACTCAGATCTCAAGCTGAATGTCTGCTCCTTCGCAAGCCCCCCGAGTCCCCAGCCTGTGTAAGGGCTCCCCGTCGGTGCACGCTGAACTTCTCCATGGGGTCTTGGCTCGTGTGTCCTCGTTTCATGTAACTCCTTGGGCTCCATCTTCCAAGACCCGCTTCCCTCCTCACTGGTTGATGACGAGGACTAGGCCCAGCTGAGGGAGGTGGGCTTCTGATTTTCAGCCACACCTGCTGGAACGTGAGCTCTGGACAAGGCAGCCTGCAAGGGCACTTTGGGTGGACCAGCACCCCCGCAGTGCTACTCAGTTTTTCTTCTTGGTTTTTCTGATTTCAAATGAGGTGACTGTCCCAGGGCTGCAGAGTGTGACTTACTGGACCTCGGGGTGATGGGCTGGCGTCCCTCCGGCCTTTCCTCCAGCTGGGGCGGCCCACCCGGCAGTGCCGGGTCGTGTGCGTCAGGCCTGCTCAGCCCCACCTGGCCCCCGACCTGGCCGCCGCCTCAGAGCGGCCCCCCGGCATCTCAAGGCGAGAGCCGGCCTCACTGTGGTTTGTGAGACGCAGTGGAAGCCGAGAAGGGCCGCCATGTATCTGCGTAGGGGCTACTTAGTCTTGTTTTGCAGAGAGGTTCTGAAGCCTTTTACTTCTTTTTTGTATCCTTTGAAAAAGGATCCTTTTGTATCCTTTCCTACTGATCTTAGCTTTAAAAAAAAACACAACAAAACCGTAACACCAAAGCAGATGTGCTCACACTGTCGGGATTCACTTTCCTGGGCGCGCTATTGGACAGGGAGCCAGCCAGTCCCCCTCTGACCAGGGCTCCCGGGGAGGCCGCGGCTCCGATGTCACCCGCTCCGCAGGGGAGGCCGGGGCAGCTTGGCGGGGGGTGCGGTCTGTTCTGCGAGGACCGCCTGTGTCCAGCTCTTGAGTGCAGTCCTGTTTCTCCCAGGGGCTCTGAGCAGTGGTCTTTCCTGTGGGCCTGCAGCCTCCAGTGAGGCCCCTGGACACAGCCAGGCGGCACTGATATGGAGGCTGGCCAGGGGCCAGGCCTGGTCAGCCTCTAGGGCTGCTTTCTGTGACAGGAACTGATTGGCATCCCTTCCTGGCCGACTTTCAGATGTGAGAACAAGGCTCCTCATCAGACTCCAGATAAGGGAGAGCAGACCACTTGCCTCTCAGCCTGTTTGCTTATCTGCCAAAGAGAAGCAGTCGCACTCACCTGGCATGGTGCCCTGAAGACATGGAGTGCCACCTGCCGAGTGCCCAGCGCAGTACTTGGCCTGTGGCAAGCAGCCAGGCGTCTGGGGGGGAGGGGGAGTGTGGCCATCGGCAGATCAGAAGACGCTTGCTGTGGATTTGAGGCTCCTTGTGGCCCAGTCAGACCCCGGGGCCAGCCTCCTGGGCAGGCCCGCTCTGCCCGCTTCTCCGTGGCACCGGGTCCCTTGGCTTTGTTGAGGGCGGCGGAAGAGCTCGTGTGCCCCCCCGTGTGCCCCCCGAGGGCCTGTTACGCCAGGCTCGCATTTCAGTCCTGCGGCTTCCCCAGGGAACAGAGACCGTCAGCCTTTTTGAGCTGGCTTCTTCAGAGAACCTGACGATGTCGCCTGTGTGCCGCCCCCAGACAAATGCACAGGTTTACGGCTTTGCATTTGACGGTAGCTGCATCGCATTAATTTAATGGGTCCACTGCCCTCGTTTCCCAGAAGTTGGTGAATGGACTATTTTGAGGCCTGGGGACTCCTTCAAGGCAGAGAAGCTGCGGTCTCAGGGAACCGAGCGGACCTTCACCTTCTTAGCTGGTCCATCTTGGGTGTCTTCTGGCCTCACCGTTCAGTGGTGCTTAAAGATCAAATGTGAGTCGAGGATGTAAAGGGTTTAGCTTGGTGCTTGACCTGTAGTAAACAATGTTTGCTAAGAAAAGTGCAGAGAAGTCGGAGCCCTGAGCCAAGGAAGCAGGGGACTGGGAGCCCGGACTCTGCTGCTCACCTGCTTTGAGGCCTCAGGAAGTCCTCTCCTCTCACCAGCCTCCAGACCCCCCACCTTCCTCGCCTCCTCTTCCTCACCTGGGGGCGTCCCCCGGTCACAGCCTCTCCCTGGACCTCACTGCACGAAGTTCCCGCTCTTCTCCGCACCTGCAACTTCCCGACCTCCTGCCTCTGTCCAGCCTCAAGGCTCTGCCACTTACGAGTAAAAGGCACGTGTGTGCTCCCGGGCTTCCTGGCCCCCCCCCCCGCGCCCACTTGGTGCTTAGAGCCCCGGGTCTAGGCATCCCCCAGACTGCTCTCCCCAGCTCCCACGCTGACCCCTCGAACAGCTGGGCCCTGCTTCCATGTCACATCCCCACGGAGCTGTCTGCCGGGGCCTCAGCACCCCTGGCTGCAGACCTCACGGGGCACGGTTGAGCCCTACGCAGGCGCCCCGGCCGGGCGCTCTGCTCTTACAGCACTGTCTCCAAGACGCTGCCCGTGCTGGGTGTTCGTCCTGCCCCAGGCTCAGCCCCCTCTCATGTAGCCACCCGGGTTCTCGCTGGGGCCTGCGTCCCCTGGGTGATCTCATTTGCTCCCGCGACTTCACGCTCGGGGTTACCTGGACCTCACTGCGCCTCAGGCTGGGCTCTCCCGCCCGGGGCAAGTGTCCCACCTGCTGCGGCCCTCAGCTGTGCCGCCCAGGGAGCTCTCCCCTGCTCTCACAGTGGCTCCTCCTCCGTGACCACTGCCTCGGAGCAGGGGCTGCCCAGGATGAAGGAGGACTCTCCTGGCACCCGCCGTCTCTTTCCCTCCGACCCCGCCACCCCGTCACCACGTGTGGTCATTCGCCCCCAGAGAGCCCAGAGAATCTTGGTACGCACCACTTGCCCCATGCCTGGGCTGATGGCACGGGCCCGATGCCACCCCAGAAGCAAACAGCACACGTTTTTTACTTGCAATTTTATTCACGATCATCAAAAATGGAAAGTAACAAAGATGTCCTTTAATAGGTGGATGGGTAGAAAAACTGCTAATTTCATGTGATAGAATGCCGTTCAGTCGCTCTCCCTTGTAAAAATAAGACTAACCCATCAAGCCATCCACATAAACGTGTGGGTGAATTTTAAATGCACATTCCTAGGTGAAAGAAACCGTCTGAAAAGGTGACACGTGTAGTCTCCCCTGCCTTTGACATTCTGGAAAATGTTAAAAAAGAAATCTAGAAAAGTTAAAATTTAGAGATAGTAAAATAGATCATTGGTTGCCAAAAGTCTGAGAGGGGAGAGGACTGAGTAGGTAAAATGTGGTGGTGAAACTATTCTCTGTGATACAGATGGGCTGGAAGGTTCTGAGATTGCAAGTCTTCTCACTCGGTCTGCAGATCAGATTGGACACATGGACGCATTTGGGAAAAACCATAGAGTTTTACAGCACCGAGAGTAAGCCTCAGGATATGCACTTGAGGAGATGAGGAGGCCCTAGAACAAAACGCAGAAGGCGGCAGAAGAGTCCGACCGCGTGATGAATGTGTGACAGCCTCACACGTCGCCTCAGTAACTGCGCATGGTGGAGACTAAGGCTCATGCAGCCAGCCCTGTGCTCTGTTTAAGTTGTTCCCCAAAGTGGAGGAGAACAACCCCGGAGCTACTGCTCGTGAAAACTGGAGCTGTCAAGTATGTGGGTGGCAGATGGTGGGAGCTGGGTTCCTCCAGGTTGGGTAGGAAGCTACAGAGGAGCAAGGGGAGGAGGCTGGATGAGGAGGCCTCGGCACAGGTGCAGATGGTTGCCTACGGAATGCTGGGAGTTTCAGATACATGCAGGCTCCACGCGCACACTGTTACCTGCTGTGCCAGTGCAGCGGATCCAGAGCCATGAGGCCTCGGTAACCACAGGCACAGCCAGCGGCAGGCACAGCCAGCACCCGGACCTGGGTGTCTAACACCGGCATGGAACAGCGGCCTCTGAAGGTCCTGGGAGAAGTGGCCCATTGTCGCATTGGGCCCAGAATGTACAAGACGAGCCTGCCGTGAGTGAGGCGGGCTCAGACCAAGCCAAACAACGCCGGGGTGATGTCAGAGGGCAGAGGAGCCAACGGAAAGAGTCTCAGGGCCAAGGCTTCCATATGAGCAACAAAATAAATAACAGTGTTGGGTTGTAAGCCGGCGTGTAAATGTCCACGCGGCCATACTGAAATGAATAAGCCATTGAGCCAACGAATAGACAGGGAGCAAACTTCCCATGCAGAAGAATTCCAAATGATTTATGTAGGTGCTTTGCCCTCATGAAGGCAGAGAACGCCTTCCTGCTTCTCTCCAAAAGTGTGAGCCGGTATATATGTAGCCAAAGCCTTGTTGATGGGCATTTGGCTTTCTTCGATTCTTTTACTTCATAAACAGTGAGCTTTTTGTACACGTGTCCTCTAAATCTTGGTATTTTCCCAAAAAAATTCTGAATTTTCATAAATAAACATTTTAGGGATAGCAGAAGTCTAACATCTTGAGAGATACACTCATTATTCAAAATGTTCCTATAAATTTAAATTTCCCAAACCAGCGTCTGAAAACCCATTTCTCACGGCTCGTGGTACCGCGTATGACTCGAAGATGGTTAACGTGTTGTCGTTAACAGGCAAAGGCCTTGCCAAGCAATAGTGGGAGATGAGTGCAGGATCCGTGCAGGTAATTCACAAGGCAAGTTGCATAAAGCCTATACATACATAAAAAGTTAACTGAAAAAGGTGCAAAAACAAGTATTTATGAAAGAAATGTACAATAGGAACAGGGAGATATTATCTTGCCCATTGGATTAGTGAGAGAAGAGGCTTGTAACAACTGGTCTTCACAGCATATGGGAACGGAGATCTGCTCCAGCTTGTTGATGGAGTAACACATAGACCGGTGGAGGCCAATTTTTTTTTTTAAATGTCCACATACTTTTACAAGAAGTTATCCTGAGCCTGCAAAAATAAATAAATAAATAAAGTGTACAGATGTTCACCATGGCATTGTTTATAACAACAAAATGATTCAAAGTAGCCTGTCTGCCGGCAGGGGTATGAGCCACTGACAGCCTCGGTAGGAGAATATGCGTGACAAGGGAGCCCGCCCGAGCGCCGGGGAAGCCCGTGGTGCCTGCGGCCGTGCGTGGGGACCGGGGGCGATGAGCTTTTGTTTGCACGTAACTCTCGTTGTCTTCTGCATGAAGCCTCCCTTAAATTTTGTAGTTAAAAAAAAAAAAAGAATTAAAAATATTTAAGACCACACTGGTTCTTCCTCTGTCTTTCTCACCTGCCCATGTCTCCGTCTCTTTCAGGGGGCCCCGCCTGCCTGGCTCAGGCCGGCAGTAGCCCCCCAGGAG